AACGAGAACAAACCGTGCTGCGACGAGGCGGTGCCAACAGAGCCATGGACAAGCACGGTGAATGATGGCGTGGTGAGGAAGGCCCAGCTGGCTCTACTACTGGAGCTCATGCACGCGTGCGTAGTGCGGGTTCGGCTCGTCTGCAGTCGTGTAGTTACTGTACAGGTGCTGTTGCTATTAAAATATGCCGTTCATTTCTATCCAAGCACTCACCTTCCTCTTCCTTAATCCTGTGATTAATTGGGAGCCCGTCCGTCATCCGCAACGTTAGCGATGCCTCCTGCCGCCGCCGAAGCTCCATCCACCGCCAGAAACTCCTCCAACATGCACGCCATGATAGACATCTTCATCTGGATGTACGCCAATGCCGTCCTGATGCATATCCTCGGCCTTGCGTGGAACGCCGAACGCCATGCACTCGAAGGGCTCTCCGGCCAGAAGGCCGAGAACGTCCCATCCGCTGGGTCTAGCCACTGCTCCCGCATGTACGCCAGCTCGTCCTCGCTTCACACGGATGGGCCGGTCGCATACGAGTTGTACGCCATGAACCACCCCGCCATACGGCTGTGCCGTCAGGAAGGACGCCTGCGGCCTGCGCCTGTAGCGATTTCACCGACTCCTTTGATGGCCGCGTGCAAGTGTATTTCCCTCAGCTTGTCGAGATCGAACCTACTCGCGCTTCTCGTCTGTATCGCCCTGGCTCACCATGAATCGTGACAGAATGTCAGGCTTCTCCTATCTCATCTCCTCACACAGCCGCGCACCATGGCGATGGGCTCGCGCAGCCGCCGCTCGGCACCCATGTTAGCGTCTTCTTTTTCTTCCAGAATCCTGGGGCGACGTACCATACCTACTCGCGCTGAGATTAGTAGCGTTGCGAAACATAACCGGCGAACCTGCTGCTCACGTTCGTGGCGTTCTCAACCTTTTCCGGCGACCGCCGTCGTCGTGGGTGGTTTTATCGATTAATCACATGATTAAGGAAGAGGAAGGAGAGAGCCCTTGGATAGAAATGGACGGCAGATTTTAATACCAACAGCACCTGTACAGTAACAACACGACTGCAGACAAGCCGAACCCCGTGCGTAGAGGCAGTCATCCCTTCGTGTTGTTGTTGGCCTTTGTGCTGCCACCGGAGGTTGCCGTCTTGCCGACCTGTTGTTGTTGCTGCTGTGTATTGCTTGCCTACTGAAGATTGAGGAAAGAAGATATCATTTTTTTGATATGTGCTGCTGTTGTGTGCTACTGTTGAGGAAATATTGAAACAGTTCTGGAGCAATTTTATTCACAGATAAGAGACATTGAGCTAAATTTGTTTGCTCTATTATGTGTGGTTACTACTATGCATTGTGTGCTCCGGACGAAGTGAGATATTGAGAAAGGGTGTGGCTAGGTCTTTTAGTCGACTCAGACTTGACCAAGTCTCAGTAAAGAAGGAAAAAGAAAAGGTTAAAAAGAAAATTTTCACGGATCTCCATGCAAGGTCTTATGAATATAGCACAAGTCTCAGTCGACTAAGATTTAGCAATCCCGATTGATACGTACAACTACTGTCATTGATTTTTTTTTTATTGTTGTTAGCCGATGTAGAGTGATAGCTTGTTTTTCTAGAAAAAACGATGTTTTTTTTAATCTTTTGCAAAGCGATGTCAGATGGAAAAACTGGAATGAACCACAACAAGTCCATGACCTACAAAATGGACCTGGAAAACCTACCAATCCTGTGGGAGGAAGCTCGAAGAGGCAAAGAAAGTTCAGCAAGCTCTAAGACGGGACTTCGATGGATGAATAGAGATAACTCACAATCCAGTAATAGGAGTCGAGCTTGTTATTAGAAAAGAGTCCATAATTTCTTCCATGCCAATTAGAAAGAAGATTTGAATTGATCTCAGAGTTCTCTTCAACGTCGTTGAGTTATTATTTGAGAACATGTGAATAGGTTTTCTGCAAGGAAGACGTCACAGTGAAGAGCGGCGCACCAAAGTGCACGTATAGATCTAGTATGCTCTTTTATCTCATGAAAAACCCCTTCACACAAGGCCTTACTTACAAGGTATTACCTCCTTCCCAAATTCTTGTTTTAGATTTTTCTAGATATGAACATATCTAACACTAAAACATGTCTAGATACATATGCATCTAGACAAATATAAGACAAGTAATTCGGGACAGAGGGGGTACTTCTCGGCGTTTGCACCATGGAATGCCCATCGTTTTGACCAGCAAACAAGCGGCTACAAGTCCTGCATATCCTGAATCATCATCAAAGTAATCTCTACAGAAAGAGCAATATAGTGCTTCAGACTGCTAAGGAATGTACTTTGGTTCCCTTTCTATCAAGCGGGCAGATGATATCTCCAATTGGGTCCCATTACAATATTGTTTCACCAACCTTTTCCACATTTTGAGCTAATCTGGCATCTAAAGCCAACATATGGCAAGTTTCTCCATATAATTTGAGATCAGTTCATTTGATATATACCATAATAGGTTACGATATGGATTAATAGTGACGGCACATCTTCAGTGACCAACACAATCCAACACCGATAGTTTATGCCAACAGCTAATTGGGTTATTGCACAGAACAATTGATGGTAAATTGAGTATTACAGAAACAGTTGGCATTGGAAACCAGGAATCATCGTGGACCAAGATTTCAAGCAAAGTTTTATCAAAACGAGAGACCAAAAGGATTTTCATGGCACCAAAATAGTTTCATTTTTTGTACTGTGCATGGATCCACATTTAATCAAGTATAACATATGTCCGGTCTCATCTCCGTGAATGATTAACAAGGGGGGACAAAGTTAACCAACAAAGAAACAAGAGCATACATTTTTAGCAGTGTTAAGCACCCTTTTGTTGTTTCTGTAGATGATTGGAAGATACAACAAATGGTAGCTGCTCCTTCCCTGCCCAAATTAAGGGTAAGGGGTACTCAGACACAGTGAATGTTAAGACCCAGATAATTGCTGCAATGCAACAAAGGAATCAAGTAGGTATTGCAAAATGACATGCTTCTACATTGAATGTACCAGAACATTCGGCGCTCCAAAAAATGCTAGTTTGAATGAAGTACATACTTGTACCTTGTTCTGAAGGGAACAAAAGAGTGTTTCTCTCAAGTCTTCCATACATCTGCATTACAATTTTTACATTTCAACTATGCATTCAGAAGTATTTTCATCAAATAAAACAATTATTTGCAGGAATCAATGTGAAGGACTAAACAGGTGCTGATCTAGCAATGTGGATTGACAACTGAGTGTGGCAATCTTTAGGAAAGAACGTTTATCAAAGAGTATTTAGTTTAATACCATAAATTCTACGTCACATATTCGCATGCAACAAACTACTGAAAGCAGTGATTGCAACATATGATATGAAACACACACTTCTGACGCTACTAACAGATAAAAAAGAGATAGTAGATGCGATGAGAATATGGGATACCTCCCATCTAGTCCATTCAGCTTGCTGTCACGAGTGCTTCGCCAAATTTGATAGAGTATTGGAATTTGGAAACTCTATGTTGACTCCAGGCAGATGATAAGTGAAAGTCCACTGAACTGTGTAGGTATATTGAATGATGGCAGTATGTAGGCTGCACCAATCCTGGACCCAGAACATGACCAAACTCACGTTTATCAACTGATGGTGAGACAACAAGAACCAGATTCCAACAAATTCAAGGCCAGCTGAATTCATCCAAAATTATGCTCCCATGTAACCATGTCCGGGCTAAGCCCAAGACAAAGTAGTTTCTACAACAAGTGAACCATTTAAACGAGATCTTCATTTAGTTTCCAGCAACAAATGAACTAAAGATGCATATGTCCTAGTGCTATCAACACACTTTTTATCATCCATCACTGAAAGCATCCCTAAACATGCCCCAGTATGCCCCTTCTCATGTAGGCAATCAATTAAAAGTTTCCAGACAACCTCATCATAGTTGTACCCTAAGCCAAGTATGTCACTGAAAATTGATACAGCCATCCCATGATCTTCACTATCACAAAGGCCAGAAAGGAGAAGGCATCATGACTTTAGCCCTGGCTGAAAGCTCTGATGGGCCATCGATCTAAATTGCTCGCATGCTTCCCTGTACATCTTTAAGTTACAATAGCAACCAAGTAGATAATCAGACATGTCTTCATCCAACAGAATGTTGTTTCCCTGCATTTTTAGCAACAACCATTCCACCTCCTCCAGTCGACACTGATTACACAATCCCCTCAGCAGTGCCTTGTATGTGCTAATGCCAGGAGCAGCATCTGATTTACACATCTATTCAAAAAGCTCCTACAGATTTCTCACATCTACCATCTTCCATACTTTTTCATTATCAAATGCATCACTATCATCCTTGTTACACATATGATTAAGGAATATGGAATATGTTGTACAATTTGGATCAATAGGGACAGAAAGCATCTTCACATGTGCAAAGAAGGCTTTCTCCATCAGGCCAGCATCACTATACGCCTTTATGACAGCGTTACATGTTTGCACATCTGGAGAAACACTTGCTTCATGCATTTCAACAATAGACACGTCTATATTTTCTTCCTTCCTTCCTTGCACCTTCAAACTAGTCTGTACTGATTTTTAGTGTATATGTCTGTTTGTTAGGTTTGCAACCAGAAGATATCATTTGCTCATACATCTTGGTAGCATTTGCATGCTTCTTGTCCCAAAGCATTTGCTTGATCAGAATGTTAAATGTACAAGTTCTTGGTTCTATTCCCTGCTTCTTCATCTTGTCTAGTAGATCTATAGCCCTATCCAATCTTTTCACGTTGCACAGACCATCAGTAAGGGCGTTGTAGGTGTGAACACCAGATATACGTCCTCTGAAGTCATCTTCTTCGTCAGCCCAAAAGCAGAATCAATATCACCTACTTGGCAATATCCATGAATCAGTGAATTATATATGATGCTGTGTGCCTTAATACCTTTCTGAGGAAGACAAGAAAAGAGAGAATGAGCCTCCTCTAGTCGACCTCACAATGAGCATCTATAAAGATGGCATAAGTTTGTCGATCTGGAAGAACGCCATAATCCTCCATCAAACCAAGCAACTGGATAGCAATCTTAATTTCACCCATGCTACAATGACCAGATATCAGCGGGTTGAATGTAACAGTATTTGGCGACAACCCAGCCCCAACCATTTGTGTCAAGAAGGCCATCGCTTGATGCACTTTACTGTCACAACAGAATCCATGGATCACTACATTAAAAATTTGGACATTTGGGTTGACCCCATTCTTCTTCATCAACTGCAAAACATCAAGAGCAGCCTTCATATCACCAACCTTGCAATACCCATCAATCAACACATTGTAAGTGGCAACTCCAAGAGCAACACCCTTTTTTTACGCTGAAAATAGTAGGAGAGGCTCCTACTACAATTGAATTAATGGAATAGGGTTACATATTTACATGGCACCGGACACCACTTTGGGCGTGGTAAAGAAAAGGAAAACTTGGGGAAAATAAAGGATGTGTTACAACCGTAAAGAGAGTTTTTATTTAGACTAGACTAGACTAGTGCTGTCAGGTAGGCAGCAATGTACTCTTTGATATCCTCATAACCCTTGTATTTGAGATTGGCAAAGTCTGACTTGAATCTTTGTTTCCAGGAAGAGATAGAGGGCATAATGTGTTGGAAATAGTGATTGTTCCTCTCTTTCCACAGGCTCCATGCAGCTACCAGAAAGACGTCCATGAACATCGGTCGGTCCCAAGCCTGCTTGGCTTCTTCCAGCAACTTGAGCATGTGCTGTTGGGTAGACCAATGAATTCCCACAATATCCCAGCATTCAACACTGAAGGTGCAATGGAAGAACAAGTGCTTAACTGTCTCTTCAACGTGAAAGCCACACAATAAGCAGTTGAGGTTAGATCCAATGTTGTAGTGCCTTCTCTTGAGCATGTTGCGTGTGTTAAGACGGACAGTCAATAAAAACCAACCAAAGACCTTGTGCTTGGGTATCGATTTTGATCTCCACAACCATTTGTAAGCAGCATGTACCTCAATGTTTCTAAAGCAGCAGTCATAGTAGTTTTTTGCCTTGAAAGCAATAGCAACCCAAATGTAGGCCAAGATGTCTTTGCCATTCTCTTCTAAATGGGTGTCACTAATAAGCTGACTCATCTGCATGAATTCATCGTACGCCTGAGAAGACAGGGGCAGCTGGAATGTCTCATGTGGGTTGGCAACAACAGTCAAGAAGTCCCGAACAAACATATCTTCATTATTAGTGTATGAGAACGCTCGGGGGAAGGCCTCCGACAGGATCTCCGATTGCCATGCATCTTTCCAGAACAAAACCGAGGACCCCTCATGCACCTTAAACGAAGGGGCTGGTGCCATGACTGTTGAACAAAACCGATTGCCATGACTGTTGGACTGAGTTTCATAACATCTCTCCACCACAATGAACCACAAGGATCCTGGGCATGTGGTATTGCGTGAGGATAGTATGTATCCCAGATCAGTTGTACCCAGGGGATGTCAAGGCGGTTATAGAATTTGTGCAGGAATTTGATCAACAAAGCATCATTCTGGATTTTTAAGGTTAATGATACCCAAACCACCATGTTTCTTGGGGCGGCAGACTAGGTCCCATGCTGCCAGTGAGTTACTCTTGGTACCTTGGTCAGATTTTTTAATCCATCGACAATGCCTCCTAATCTTTTCTAGCTGTGCTACGACTTTAGGATTTAATCTTATGGTGCACATGGCAATGGAGGTAATCCATGAATTCACTAACGAGAGTTTACCAGCATAAGACATCATTGGCATAGCAGCAGTGATCCTTCTCTCAGCACGACACACCATTGGCATAAGATCCTGAACAGAAGGCCGAGTGGTGCCAAGAGGCAACCCAAGATAGGTGAATGGCATCTTTCCCACAGTGCAACCAAAGATTGTAGCTATGTTTTGGTAGAGGGTGTCCGGGGTGTTGATTGGGATCAGGGGTGATTTGTGGAAGTTAGTGTGTAGCCCAATCAAAGCAGCATAGTCTGAGAGAATTTGCTTCATGGTGGCTGCTTGGGTGGGGCAGGCTAGCATAACAATGATTGTGTCGTCTGCGTATTGAATGACGGGGTAGTCCGTAGTGTTCCTAGTGGGGAAGGGTAGGCTCAGGAGATTTTTGTTGTAAGCATCATTAATTGAACACTATAAAAAATCTACAGCGGTCACGAAAAGCAGTGGTGACAACGGATCTCCTTGGCGAACACCACAGAGGCATTGGAACTGACGTCCTGGTACACCATTCAAGAGCACAGAGGATTTCCCGGATGAAAAGATCGATGTCATCCATCGAAGCCATTTACTGTTAAATCCCGTTTGTCTCATGATCTCAATCATGGCTGAGTGTTGTCATCCACCGAAGCCATTTACTGTTAAATCAATGCCCTTCACAGGCTTCACACAACACCATGGCACCATGCTCCACTTTTCCATGCTTCCACAGACCATGACAACTATGGTATATGTCCAGCAATCTGGAGCACGCTGCTGCATCTCCATTTTCTCCAACAATTTGGTCACATCATCGAACCTTCCCTCCTGACAAAGTCCACCAATCAAGGCATTGTAAGTCACGACGTTTGGCACCACACCCTTATCGACCATCTCACCCAACAAAGCCTTGGCATCCCTGACACGCCTAGCCTTGCAGAGCCCATCAAGCAGCACAGTGTATGTGTGCACCCCGGGTCTGCACCAGCCCCTCGACATTTTAGCAAACACCCTACAGGCATCGTCAATGCGCCTCACGACACACAGGCCCTGGATGAGGATAGTGTAGGAGTATCTGTCGTAGTAGGCACCCCAACGGCGTGGCATCTGCACGAACAACCCGCACGCGGCTGTGAGGAGGCCGGCCCTGCAGAGGCCGAGCATGAGGCAGTTGTAGGTGAAGGTGTCCGGCGCGAACCCTGCCTCGTGCATCAAAGCCAGAGCGACCCTGGCATCAGCGAGGAGAGCAAGCTTGCAATGTACGCTGATGAGCGTGTTGTAGGTACAGCAATCGGGAGGCTCACCGGACTTTAGCATGGCGCCGCAGGAGGCCGGGAGGTGCGCGAGGCGCGGTGCCTCACTACCCCTGGAAGAATATGCGATGAGGGCGGCATTGTGAGATCGGATGTCGGAGGGGTCGAGGCGAGGGGGGTCCAGGTTGGGAGGGGATGGAACGGCCGCCGTTGCGGCACACGTGGAGAAGCGGAGGGCGTCGATGGACTCCGCCACCGCCACCGCCAACAGCGGCGAGAGGCGGCGCATAATTGGTGGGAGTTTAGTGATGGGAAGTGAACGATCGGATCTGGGGACGAATCAGGGGAAGATGCTGGATGAATTGGTGCGAGATGATAGTTCGGTCTCTCCCTTGTTCATCCAGAGTGCAGGCCGAATGGGATTCTTTGACTTTGTCAATATTGCCAAACATGTTGTGGGTGGCTGACGCCAACAAATCCCTAGCTTTTTTTTTGAAACTCACTAAGAACTTTATTTAAATTTCCCAACCAGGTATCTCATCCGACACAGTCTGCAAGATGCAGTCCGGTGGTTCATGCAACCACACCTTACAAACATTATTCGCCACACACTCCCTAGCTAACAAATGAGTTGCATTGTTAGCATAAAGTCTAACCCAGGTTACTGTCCACCTTTCCCTTGATGCCATCAATTGCTTCACCTCTTCGATAATCGGCCCCAACGGTGATAAGTCCTTCTCCTTTCTCTGCAGTTTGCAAACAATCTCACGACAGTCCATCTCTACATGCAGGTTTTGTACGTTTAGCTCCTCCGCGAGTTGTACTGCTCTTCTGCAGGCATAGAGCTCCACCCTTGCCAGTTCTGTGCACTGAGGGAAAACATGACAGGCTCCGCCTAGGAACGCACCCTCCTGGTTCCGAAGAACCACACCTACTCCACCTAGCTCGCCAACCTTGGATATAGCTTCGTCCACATTTGCTTTCACCCACCCATCATCTGGCGGGCACCATTTCTCTCTAGGGGCTGGGTTATCTCGCTTGCTCTTCCTCCCATGAATAGACAGCCACTCACCCATCAAGGCGAACACCCTTCTCGCGATCACATCCGCACCTTCAATTCGTTACCCCTCTCTTGTGTTATTACATGCCAGCCAAAGTGCATAAACCCCCTGGACCATGACCGCCCTTTCATCATCCGATGCTTCCGCAAACCAAGTCAGGAGCCATCTTGCTAATGCATTCTAGGGGGCGACTGACTCCGGTGGGATCGCCACCGGCACCCCCAACTCTGAATGCATAATCTTCCAAAACATTCTGGAATGAAAACAGGCCCAAAATCTGTGATAATTCGTTTCCTCCCTTCCACACGCCACACAGAAGACTCCCTCTTTTATCTTCCTCCATTTGAGCTCAGTGCCTACCGCCAGTCCGTTCCGAATCAGACGCCACATGTGCGTTTTCACCTTGCTCGGTGCTATATTATCCCACAAACTGAGCCAAGACTTATGATCTGTCACCGTGGACGAGGATTCCGGTCGGCCTGCTTTGAGACTTTTCTGCGCCATCCTTAGGCGATATGATGATCGCACTGTAAACACACCATTCTTGGTGTAATTCCACGCCAAGTAGTCCTGCATGGTCGGACCTCCCACCGGAATATGCATGATCTCCTCAGCCTCATCCGGAGAGAACATGGAGCACACCTTGCTTCGGTCCCATGCATTCCTTTGCGTGTTGAGAAGGTCACATACTCTAGTTATTCCATGTATATATCTTTTGGCACAGTGGCCTTAGACTTCCCTTCCTGGGTATCCAATTGTCATGATGCACTTTAATTCTTGTCCCGTCACCTGTTCTCCAAATGAGACCATCTAGCAAGAGATCCCTGCCATGTAAAATGCTTGTGAAGGTAAACGAGCCACCGTCCGGGCAGGTTGCATTAAGGATTGACCCCTCCACAAAATATCGAGCCTTCAAAACTTGTGCACACAAAGAATCCGGTACCTGAAGAATTCTCCGGGCTTGCTTAGCAAGCATGGCTTGGTTGAAGGCCTCCAGATCACAGAAACCCAGTCCACCCTCATGTTTCCTCTTGCACATTTTCTCCCATGCGATCCAGTGCACCCTCTTTTGACCATTCGCTTCACCCCACCAGAAGTTCGAGGAGATAGATGACAAATTCCCGCACATTTTCTTTGTGAGTTGAAAACAGCTCATGGTAAAAGCTGGAGTTGACTGGAGTCCTGACTTAACAAGCACCTCTCTGCCAGTCTTGGACAGCCCTTGTCCCTTCCATCCGAACACTTCTCCTCTCGCACTCTCCTCTACATATTTGAAGGTTCCATCCTTCGATTTCCCAACTACTGTGGGGAGCCCTAGATATCTTTCACTCAGAGCTTCCATAGAAATGCCGCTGACCTGCTGCACCTCCGCTTTCATCTCATCAGAGCAGCCCTTCCCAAAGAATATAGCAGATTTTTGAAGGTTAACCTTCTGTCGCGATGCCGCTTCATAATCCTGCAATATGACACGGAGTGCCTCAAAATTGTCTTGGGGCCCCTCTAGGAAGACCACACTATCATCTGCGAACAACAGATGAGTAATCGTCGGCCCAGTTGTCCCAAACGATACTCCCTTTAACTTCTTCTCCCGCTGTGCATTCTTCAACATTGCAAAGAATCCTTTACATATAAAAGGAAAATATATGGGGAGAGGGGGTCTCCCTGTCGAAGACCACGCGAAGGTATGAACTTATTAGAGAGCCCCCCATTCAACTTCACAGAAAAAGTAGCTGATTTGACACACCTCATGATCATCTCCGTCCAGTGACTGGAGAAACCAAATTTCATCAGCATTTGTTTGTCGGATTTCGGGTTCCGGCAGACCCTTGAGGTTCGAACACTGGGGTGCGCGTGGAGATTCAACCCTCTACCGGCTCGCTCCTCGCCGAATCGCTAGGACCTAAACTACCAAACTGAACAGCACAAGAGACACAAGATTTATACTAGTTCAGGCCACCATTGTGGTGTAATACCCTACTCCAGTGTGTGGTGTGGTGGATTGCCTCTTGGGCTTGATGATGAACAATACAAAGGGAGAACAGCCTCGCGAGGGTCTGTTCTTGGCTGGCGCGATGAATTGCTAGGGGGAATGCAGTCGCCTCTCTCTCTCTCTCTCTCTCTCTGTGTGTGTCTTCCTATCCTTGTTCTCTTCATGCCTACCTTGCGGGTGGCTAGTCCTATTTATAGGCAAAGGCCCTGGGCCTCTTCCCAAATATTGAGCGGGAAGGGCGCCAACAATTGGCCATTTTGAAGGGGAACAGCGGGTACACTTATCCTGACTAAAGTTAGTCCTCGCCTGTCAAAGGCTCTGGTGATGACGCCGGCTTGGGCTCCACAATGACTTCCTTCCGGCCGTTGGGCTGGTCTTGGTCTTGTTGCACCGAAATGGACGCCTTTGCTTGATGCTCTCGCCTGCGCTTGCTCCCTTTGCACCAAAGAGGAAAGGAGGACACTGCGCGGGCTAGCGCCCGACTGGCACCCTTGGTCGTCATGGCTTGCGTCATGGGCACCTCGCGAGGTACCCTGTCTTGAACTCTCCGCCTCCTCATGAGCCAGCCTGACGAGGCCGTGCCTGAGGAAGCTCCTTGTCGTCCGCCCCGCGAGGATTGGCCCCTCGCGAGGGTATTGAGCTTGCGTTGATGAAGATGGGCTGTGCTGGGCCTCCTTTGAGCCACGCCGCAGGCCGCGGGCAGGCAAGTCTGGGGACCCCCGTTCCCAGAACGCCGACAGTAGCCCCCGGGCCCACGGCGCGCCCGAACTTAGCTGACCAGATAGGCGAAAGGGCAAGTGCGAAGCGCCGCGGGCCCTAACAGCCTGCGGCCTTGGGCGCCGCGTGGCAGTTGATTGGACATGGGCAGCACTGCTTCCCCACGACGCCTCGGTAACCGCTCGGATTCGACAAGTCCCTGCATGCAAAGCGGGTCATGATTACCTGTGATCGTGGAGGCCGACGGTTGGCCTTCGCCGGCTATAAGTACGGAACGGCGCGCGCCCTTCCAGTCTATCCTTCTGCTTCTCCTCCTTCCTGGGCCTTGCTCCATCTTGCTGCAATGGCTCCGATCCGCCGGTTCTCCGCGGAAGAGAAGGGAAAGGCTCCCCAAGAGGATCCTGATCCGCTTCCCCCGAAGAAGCGGCTTGCCCTCTGGTGTCCGGGCGAGGGCACTCGCCAGGAAGCGTCAAGACCCTGGTGTGAGCGGCCGCCACCAGGGTTCCCTCTTCCCTTGTACGCGCACATTGGTGGCTCTGAAGGAGTCGACGCCGAACGCCACGAGCGGCGCCGCTAACGACGCAGGCGGGTCACGAAGGTGTGCGTCTTCCCTCCTAGAGTCCACGCCAAGGGCTCCTGCCGAGAGTTCGTGCTTCACGCCGCCACGCCTCCTAAGTCT